GAGGTAAAGTCCAGATTGTGAAAGGCTTTATGTAATATGCAAGGAGTTTGGATGTTATCTTTAACTGTAGAGATGCACTGACATTTATAAACAAGAGAAGATCACCAGATATGCCTTTTAGAAACTGTGTCAGTAATCAGACTGAAAGATTGGCAGCCAGTTATAAATGGAAGGCTTTGATAATAGCCCCATCAAGAAATGAAGAGGACCTGAACTAAGTCTCTAGTGACAGGGATGGAGAAGGCACAGCGGGGAAGGGTAAGATTCAAGAGAGATTGAGGAAAAAATTACAATATATGGAGCTTGATTAGATGTTTGAACTGAGAAGAGTCAGAGTTAACCCAGATTCCTGTTGTGGACTGCTGAATCAACAGTAACCATCTTAACTCAGAAGAGGAATTTGTAGAAGTTTGCTTGAGGAAAGTAGTGAGTTGAGTGGTCTCCTGGGACCTCTAGATGGGGATTGAAATAATGATAATGATAACATTTCTTGAGCACCATGTGCCATTCTTTGAGAATTAAAGAGCAACAGTCAACATAGAGATATACTGATTCAGAAGAATCCGTTGATGTCCAGTTAAAAGTAAAAGCAGAGTAAACAGAAGTGGGTAGGAGAGAAGCAGTCAAAATGCAATTAGTTGGTCTTGCTTGTAGCTTTTGCCATGTGATAAGTGTGTGGTCATGGCCTTCTTGTATGTTGCTAATGGTGAATCATTTTTGCAAAGAAATACTAATGTATTTATACATACTACATTATTCAAATAATGCTGAGTAATGTTCTTTGTTAGTTTCACAAGTTTGAATATTTGCTATAGGCTTCAGCTCTTTGTGAATACTTGAATGGCAGAAACACAAATAGAAGAGGATGAGAATGTTGCTCTGCAGGATACTAACATGAGATCAGAAATGAATTTAAAGTCTGATTTGGCAAAAACAATATCTGTTTCAATGCCAAAACAAAATCAGGGCAAACAGACAAAATATTTTTATCATTGTCTGAAGGAACTGAGCTACTGTGAAGCGGGATGTATCCTAACATCCATCTGGATGGTGTTCTTGGAAATTCTATTAATGGGAACAGGTTCTTTCCCTGTCCCTTCTCCATCTCTGCCTTAATTCAGCCAGCATCAACACAAAATGAAATAAAATTTTCTGTGTCCAATGTTATATTTTAAATTTATCTTTAAGAGTAATAGAGTTTGATATTAAGTATTTGTGATGTTATCTTTAAGTTTTTCCACAGATTTTTATTTGACATTTATTTTGTATTAATTTTCCCTTTATTTACAATTTTTAAAAATTAAATATCTTTTTCAGGTTAGGATCATTTTTACATATTATTGAAATATGTAATTTTGATGTAACATATTCATTCAAATAGCAATAAAGTATGCATCCATTGTTACATAGCCTATAGAATACTTCTGAAACTTTTATATAAGAAATTTTCAGTTTATTATAGTCACTCATTATTTAAAATATATAAATCATGAAAAATATATAACTTATGATTTAAGAATTCTTATCTATCACTCTTCAAATCCTGAAGATCAGTATCTATTGGGAATTAATATCCATTGGGAGACACTGGACATTTTTCATATTTCTTGATTGAATATTTTATGATTCAGAAAAATATATCAGTTCCCCTAGAAGTGCCAGGAAGGAATTCCCACATGGAAACATTACCATGTACCATACTAACCTTTCATTTAGTCCTCACAATAATCTGCGGTTGTAGGTACTTTGGTAGCTACAAATTACAGATGAGGAAACTAAAATGTTGATGAAGAACAGGGAACACACTCAAGACCGTATGACTAGTAGTAGGTAGAATAGATTCAAACTTAGGCTGTCCAACTGGAATGTGCTCTTAGCAGATACATCAGCTACTAGGCAGCCAGAGGCAGCATTCTGGAGCTAAGGAGAAAGGATGGAACTGGAAATGTACACTAACATTTGTTTTTTTCTAATTCAGAAGGGCCTTCTATGCCAGATATATAGCTGGTGAACCAGGTACATAGTTGCTATGAACTAAAACAGTGGAGTGTGATGTCCTTTGAGTTCCCCAAACTATGTAGTTTCATGCCATTGAACTTTCCCTATTCTTTAAAAGAAGCTCAAAAGAATATTTTTTCTCTGACTTTATTTCAGAAAACTACTTCCCTGCCCAAGCAGACCAAGTGAAATGACAGATTGAGGAATTAGCCTGCTAGTTTCGGGAAGGGCTGTGTGCTTTGTGGCTGCAAACAGTCTGCTGTTTGCTGGAGTTGCTCCCTTCTCTATTTTGCCTTGTCTGCATAAACAGGCTGTTTTGTTTTGGTTAATCTTCTGTTATCAATATACCTGTCTCCTTCTCTGATTATATTCCAAGTTAAATCTACCGTGGTATATCAACCTCATTTAGTAATATTTTCTTACAGTAACATGCTCATGGTGTTGGCATCTATAGAGACAAAAGGAAGACAATGGCTTCACGTTTTAAAAATAACTTTTTAAAGCAAGAATATTTAGAGTTTACCTCTTTCTGCATGCCAGAATGCTGCGTAGAGGAGCTGTTTACAGTTTCCCAAATTGTCTCTGGAAATGTCAACAAAATTACCAGTTTTCTATTCAAATTTTTAGAATTCCAGAGCTTAGGAGAAAACCCACCACCACTAACAACAATAACAACAACAACAACAACAACAGCAAAAACCCCAGGAACACAAATTATGTAGTTGATTGCCTGGAGATTATGGTTTTCTTGCATTGATGATATTAGTACATGTGTTGAAGAGGGAGATAGGCACGTTGCTTAGTTTATAATACTAACAGCTTTGGAACATGTATTGGTCAGGAGATATTCTATAGATGCATCCTATAGAATAATGTGATTTTAAATGCCTTACTAGAATGCCAAGTGTATATATGGTGAGTACAAGCTTTGAACTTGGACAAACCTCATTTTATAGATTGCTGCTACTTGTATACTCTGTGATCTTGGACAAATTACATAGCTTCTCTGAGCTGTCTTTGAAAAGTAGGGAATATAGAACATAAGCTTGTTACGAAGATTAAATGAGGCATATTCAATGTTTCTTAGGACAGTGTATGTGGTACACAACAGACACTAAAGAGTAGGCAGCCCTTTTATTTATTGATCACCTTTATTTAGCACCTTTCTGTGTGCCTGGTAATTTTTGAGACAGCAATTATTTTCTCCTCCCCTGTAGTCTATTTGATTTCTCAATCCCTCATTAGATGCCCCTCCTGTATGCTCCCCTATCACTCTCTGTTCTCTATCTCTGGCTGGCACTACCCCATATATTGTAATTGTGTGTATACTTGTCTCATTAGGGTAAGGGACTGGGCCTGTCTTGTTCATTATTTTATCACCATCCTCAGAAAACCAAACACAAAGGAAGATGCTCAATAAATATTTATTTATTAAATGAATGAATTAATAAATGCATGCACACTTTACTCAGGTCTGCTTTTGCTGAACCCTCCTGTCTGCTTCTGCCTTTGATCTAGATAGAGATGATGGTTGCCAGCAGAAACCAGTTAACTAAATCTTAGTTCCATCTAAAAATAAGTAACCCAGGGTGGGGATAGCTCCAGGTGTAGCCCCAGGCATACTTGGACTTTGTGTCAGAGTATTTTTTTACTTGTCCTATTAGGAAGCTTTTCCATTTACTTCTAAATTTGCAACTATTTTGAATGGTTGAGATGACTGAATGTATTCTCTTTCCTGCATAAGGAAGGCAGTGAAGCCTAGAGCTTAGAGGTGAAACAGCCCCTTCATCCAATTGAATTTCTTAACAACCAGCTGTGTAATCTTATTACACATCTAAAGCTTCAGTCTCCTTGACTGTTCAATGAGATTAATAATAAAAATACCTCAGGGTAATTGTAAAGATTGAAATAATACATATAAAAGCTTACGCAATGCCTGGCACATATTAATAACTATTAACTTTTTAAAGTTATTCCTGTAAGTCATTTGTATTTTATAGGAATAAATAATCAAAATATGCTAATGATGAATTACTAAAATGTGAACTAGTGAAACATTTCTTGGCAATACCAGTGCAGTGGCCTTGAAAAGTTATTGTTCAGACTCCTGATATGGGGAACATAATTGACTGAAAGCCCTGCTGCTTCTCCTCTAGATCCACCACTGCTTGGCACCAAGACCAAGCTTCCTCTGGGCTGCTCCCAGCCAGTGATGAGGAGTTAGGGTTAGGGTTAGGGCCTAATGCAGGCCTATTTCTGCAAAGCATGGGACTCCTTTAACATGTGACTTTGGCTCAAGGACTCCCCATCTGCCTACTGGACACTTCCATAAAACTGTGTTGCAGCCTGAGACTCTTCCTACCCGATCTTCCTTGCTTCCCTCTCCCCTTGACAGTGAGTGGTGAGACCTGCACCGAAGTCTGAGGCTCTCCCTGCCTCCTGCAGCTTCCTCTCACATTTCTTTTACTGGTATTTCCTCCAGGAAACCTCATGCTTGTCTTGGTGCCTACTTCTTGGAGGATCTGACTTAACACAAACAACTGTAATTGTTGTTAGGGAGTAACAGTCTATATCTTAGAGCACAGATTTGATATTTTCTTCATCAGGTATGAAGTTAAAGTTATTATAAGTTTAACATGATCTTTATGTTACTGCAGTTCCTGAGAACTAGAATTTGGTGTTACCTTAAATTCTCTAGGATAAGTATTAGCCACCATTTCCTCAGAGAAATCTACTAACATTTAGGACTTTACATGCTAACCTGCAGATTGAGTTTTAAGATTGTTCTTATTTAGGACAGCCCTCCAAAGTTCCAGGTCTTTAAAGTGATACAGTAATTTTAGTCTTTAACATTCATGAACCAATAATTTCTCACTCTACCCCCCCCAAAAAATTTATTGATAGCTCTCCAGTGTTCATCTGTTTTTATAGTCTTCTCCTGATTTCTTTGGTTTTGCTATTAGTCCTGCCAAATCCTCACTTGATTATTATTTTTGTGACAGACCAGGTCCAGGGAACAGTCACCATCCGGAACATCAGTACCCTGACTTCAGGTTTGTACCAGTGTGTGGCTTCTAACGCTATTGGAACCAGCACCTGTCTTCTGGATCTCCAGGTTATTTCACGTAAGCATATGGAATTCTGATGTCAACCCTGGATCTGAAACTCTAAGATCTTTGTTATACCAGAAAATGAAGAGTTCTGCTGAATTGTCTTAAGGTTATCTGAAGATTAAATAGAAATTGTTTTGGTTTTAATTATTATTGAAAATAGTTTATAAATGTTTTAGTATACTTTCCAGCCTCAGCAATATGATAATCTTTATGACAAAATATCTTTCTCCTCAGGATCAATAAAATTGAACAAGTTCTTATTGTATAATGCTATATATATTATGAAAATGGTAATAATCTTACGAGTATAGCAAGACCTTCTCGTGTTTTTTCCTAATTTTCTATATCTGCATAATTTTTGAGTGTCTAGGTTGTAAATGGCAGTGTAGAAAACTTCTCTTTAGTTGAGAATTCTGGGATATTTGAATTCCAGTTGCGAAAGGGAGTGATCTGGCTGGGTTGAGGTAGAAGGATATCCCCTAGTTTCCAGCATTCGTGTAGGGTAGATTAGGCAAGTTAGATTGGTGCTGTCTGTTACCTACTGTAGGTATTGTTCTCCTAAAATGTGCAAGTCATTTAATTGTTTATTCATTCAAAATATGTTCAGAGCCTACTATGTGTTGGTCCTAGCCACTGACAATATAGAAAGTTAATTGAGGTTTAACTTTATATGGATGAAAGATTTTAGACAGTTTTATACATTTTAAGCAGATTATCTAAGTAAGCTTATGTGCTTATTACAGTTGCATGGGTATATGCTATTTCTCTCTTTTTTTCTTAAATATACCTTAAATATATTTTGCAGCCCAGCCCAGGAACATTGGACTCATAGCTGGAGCCGTTGGCACTGGTGCAGTTATTATCATTTTTTGCATTGCACTAATTTTGGGGGCATTCTTTTATTGGAGAAGCAAAAATAAAGAGGAGGAAGAAGAAGAAATTCCTAATGAAATAAGGTTTGTGTGTCAGATTTTTCAAATTTGTCCTGCATAGCCATTGTGTATTTCTATTCATTTTTGGCAGTTAAGATATATCTGCTAATCGTAAAGCTCTAATGGCCAAGACTATTAAAGTGGCCACATGATATTTTCTTGTATATCACTTTTCTTCATGGTACCACACAGCTTTATTCACTGGATCATGAAGGAGGGGACGGTCCAGCATGTGCCCAACTAGGAAGATACAAATGAAGAATTCCCCTTCTCTTCCATATCTCCGGGATAGGCAGGGTTAGGTGGCTACCACAACGGGAAAGGTAGTGTCTAAAGCATGCGTTTACTATTGACATTTATAATAGATGTGAACATAAAGCAAGAAGGAATGCCATAAGAGCATACCAGTGCCTGTACACAGTCAGGCCACAGCACTATGGCTCAGAAAGGCAATTTGGCTCAGAAAGGTAGTTCAGACAAGAATAGGAACATTTTAAGAAAACAGTGCCAACATGATCTTTAAAGAAAAGTGACCTAGTCATACTGGGGAGATTTGAGGGTCCAGGCTCAGTCTCAGATTTCATCATGGCATATCTGTATTGAAAATGCTGTAATGACTCCAGTCTCCATAGTGAGACATACCATAGCCTTACAGGATCTGATTCTTGCCTGCGTATCTTCTCTCTCACCACTCTCAGCATACTTTGCCTTCTAGTCTGTCCTGCATTTTCCCATTACTCAGAGGTTTTACTCAAGCCTCTACTCTCTTCCTGGACTATGCTTCTCATTTGATCTATCTCTTTACTAAATTCCTTAATCTGATTCTGGATTAGACCAGCCATCACCTCCTCACATAAGTTGTCTTTAGCGCCTTGCCCAACCTTTCAGACTTGTGAACTTTCTTCATTGATTACTACCCTCCATGACTAGAGGTTTCTTAGGTAGGATTTGTGTCTTTTTTACATGAAACATATTGTAAAGTGTACTCAATAAATGTTAAATGAATTGGTTAACATCTTAAATTAAATGACTTCTTTTAGCCTGTTGTAATTCTTAAGTGTTGGGCCATATGCAGGGATAGAGTCTTCCCCAGGATAAGATTACTGAGGAGAACCTCTCATCAGCACCCCACAGTTATTTCTCAGTCTCCATAGAGCAATACAGTCAGGCCAACTCTGATTATTTCTTGAAGTTCTGCATACCTATAGTTTGATTTCCCAGCTATTTTATGACACCTAGTTTAGTAGATTTCTTCATGGACCAATTTCCTACTTATAGTAAATATTTATGAGTGAATAAATATATATTTACTATATATATGAATATTTACTATAAATATAAAGCAAGATACTATATATTTACTATAAATATATATAAATCAAGATTTTTTATATATTTACTATATGATATATAAACATATTTATGTGAATTTTGTTTACATATATATTTAAAAGTTGTACTGGAAGAGACATTCTCTGAGAGATCTGAGATTTCCTTTTCTGCTGTTGGAGACTGAGAAGCTGAGGAGAGATTTTCTTGACCATTGTCTCAAAGGGAATGGATGCCAAAGCTGAGGCCATCCAGGGTTGCCATGCCTGCTTTCACGAGAGACGTCCTGGATTTGTTTTTTGGATGTATAAGCCTTAACATGAAAAGAAAGATTCCAGGGTAGGAGGATAGGATTAACTTGAAGTAAATCCTAATGACAACTTTATTTTGTTCCTTTCAGAGAGGATGATCTTCCACCCAAGTGTTCTTCTGCCAAAGCATTTCACACTGAGATTTCCTCCTCAGACAACAACACACTAACCTCTTCCAATACCTACAACAGTCGATACTGGAGCAACAATCCAAAAGTTCATAGAAACACAGAGTCAGTCAACCACTTCAGTGACTTGGGCCAGTCTTTCTCCCTCCGCTCAGGCAATGCCAGCATACCGTCCATTTATGCTAATGGGAGCCATCTGGTCCCGGGTCAACATAAGACTCTGGTAGTGACAGCCAACAGAGGGTCATCACCACAGGTGATGTCCAGGAGCAACGGCTCAGTCAGTAGGAAGCCTCGGCCTCCACACAGTCATTCCTACACCATCAGCCATGCAACGCTGGAGCGAATTGGTGCAGTACCTGTCATGGTACCAGCCCAGAGTCGGGCCGGGTCCTTGGTATAGGACATGAGGAAGTGTTGTGTTCAGAAATGAATAAATGGAGTGCCCTCATACAAGGGGGAGGGTGGGGTGGGGGAGTGCTGGGAAAGAAACACTTCCTTATAATGAGTAAAATGCACAAAGAAGGAGGCAGTGCTGTTACTTAGCCACTAAGATGTGTAAAATGGACTGGAATGCTCTATCCTGAAGACTTACTTCCCCACCAAAGATGTCCTGGGATTCTGCTGGATCTCAAAGATGTGCCAAGCCAAGGAAAAAGATACAAGAGCAAAATAGCACTTAAAATCCAAACTGCCGCCCAGATGGGTTTGTTCTTCATGCCTAACTTAATAATTTTTAAGAGACTAAAGTGCCAGATGGAGTTTAAATACTGAAATTATTTTAAAAGGTATGTGTCTTTAAGAAAATAATGAGCAACCCTGTGATACGTTCTGTCTCTCCCAATTCCCTCGTTACGTAGAGGGCTTAATGGTATAAATGTTTAATATTGGTCCCAACAGGGCTGACTCTTCTATCATATAATCAAAACTTTTTACATGAGCAAAATTCAGTAAGAAATGGGGGAAAACAAAGGAAACGTCTTTGAGAAGCCCCTTCATATTTATTTATTTATGTCTTCCTGAACCATGAATTTCATATTTGGAATATTGCTATATTGACAGATTCTTGCCTGTCTGTGTTATTCTAGGATCTGTTACAGGTCCATGGCAATTACTGTTTATTTTTTCCTGGAAAAATATTTTTTTATAGAAGATTTTTTTTTTTTTAAATACATGAGAGGCATTGGGCTAAGAAAGAAAAGACTGTTGTATAATACCTTGTTCAATGGTTGTATTTAGTGAGCTCATAGAGGTCCATCATATCATGAACGAGCTGGGTTGTGTGGGCAGGAAGGTAGGGCTAAGAGGTTGTAGGCTTACTGGGCAGCCTCTCAGAGCAAGGTTGTTCAGATCTCCCTTGCTATTACAGTAGGTTAATATTAATGAGGACAGCACCTGATGCCTTTTGTACTGAGGTAGATAACTTTCTCTTTATTTGACAAGTAGAGTTTAACTTACTTGTCAGGGAGGGCAGAAGTTGTTTTTCTGTTTTTCAAAATAATTCTTTTTGCAAAAGAGGTAAGACTGAGACAAAAGGTGTATCTTCTGGTGTGCTGCTGGAAGTGTCTACCCTACATTTGTGTCAGCTCAGGGTTGCAGTGTTGCCCAGACGCATTTTACACCATTGTAAAGGGATTCCTTTTGTGGTTACTACCTGGCTTGGCTGGCCTTGCGGTTCACCAGATTAATTTACAAACTCCCCCACTTTATTTTGTGCTATGTAGATCTGGTCATTTGACTGTCTTGCGTTAACCACACTTTAAGCAACTCACAAATTTCTTCCCAGATTTGTTTCCTAGATTATTTATGATACTCATCCCATGTCTCAGTAAGAGTGTCTTTTCTTTCTGGGATGTGTTCTCTCACTCCCTCTTACCACCATGCTTTTTGCCCTCTTCTCCTGCAAGCATAGTCTTCACAGGGAGTGGCTTCCTTCCTAACTTTTTTTTTTTAGTTATTTGAATGAATGGACACCAACAGCTGCTGCAAACACTGTTTTTCCAAAAGGCTACACTCAGAACCTAACCATTGCCAACCATTTCAGTATTGATAAAAAGCTGAATTTACTTTAGCATTACTTATTTTTTTCCATTTGATGGTTCTTACTTTGTAAAAATTTAAATAAATGAATGTCTATACTTTTTATAAAGAAAAGTGAAAATACCATGACACTGAAAAGATGATGCTATCGGATGCTGTTTAGAAAGCATTTATCTTGCATTTCTTTATTCTTTCTAATTATCTAAAATTCAATAAAATTTTATTCATATAAAATAAGTTGTCATTAATTATCAATACTAATGAGTATGTCATTTTAAAACTTAGTATTCCCTTTAATGTTACAAGCTTTTCTCCATCCTGTTAAATAATATTTATAATGATTTTAATAGGCATATGGTATTCCAAAAATGACATAACCTTTCTCTTATTATTAAAAATTTAGTTTGATTCCAATTCTTACCCATATGACTGAAGATTAATGACCCTTTTCATACATTGAACTGTTTTCCCATTTCCTAGAATGAAAGTTCATGAAGACAGTCTCTATGCTTGCCTTTTTCACCACTGAATCTCCGTCACCTACCACAGTGCCTCCTGTGGGTGTTGAGTAGATAAATGCTGACTTCTGAAATGAAATTGCTAAGTCGAGTTATGAGCATGATTGTAGCTCTTGATGTGTACTGGATCATTCCTTTGTTTTAACTTTTTATTTTGAGATAATTATACTTTTACATGCAGTTGTAAGAAATAATAGAGATCTTGGCCGGGCGTGGTGGCTCAAGCCTGTAATCCCAGTACTTTGGAAGGCCGAGACGGGTGGATCACTAGGTCAGAAGATCGAGACCATCCTGGCTAACACGGTGAAACCCCGTCTCTACTAAAAAATACAAAAAACTAGCCGGGCGAGGTGGCGGGCGCCTGTAGTCCCAGCTACTCAGGAGGCTGAGGCAGGAGAATGGCCTGAACCCGGGAGGCGGAGCTTGCAGTGAGCTGAGATCCGGCCACTGCACTCCAGCCTGTGCAACAGAGCGAGACTCCGTCTCAAAAAAAAAAAGAAATAATAGAGATCTCATATACCTTTTACCTCTTTCTCCCAGTGGTAACATCTTGCATAATTATTGAACAGTATCACAAGTTGACATGGATATAATCTATCAACCATACTCAGATTTCATCACTTATACATGCACTCGTGTGTATGTGCATATTTAGTTATATATAGGTTTATCAAATGTGTAGATTTTTAAAAAAACTTTCATTAGTTTTTATTTAAAAAGTAATACAGAATACTGAAAAAAGATTTAAAAATCAACAAGTAATACTCCCACTTATAGAATGCCACTCTTAACATTTTTTAGTATTTACATTCATTTATTTACAAACAGATTTTTTTGTTCTTTATTGAGGCATATTTTGCATACAGTAAAATTCACCATTTTAAGGTGATGTGTGTATGATGTATGATGAATGTAACAATGACTACAATCAAGATACAGAATATTTCCATCACCCTCAAAAATCCCCTCCTTACCTTTGTAATTAAACCACTCTCCCCAACCGCTCTTTAGCAATCACTGGTCTGGTTTCTGTTCCTAGGGTTTCAGCTTTCAGTAATGTCATGTACATTTCATGTGACCAACACCACAGTCAGGATACAGGATTCCTTATGCTACCCTTTCATAGTCATAGCCACCACCCTTCTTCCCAAGTCCCTAATTTGTACCAATCACTGTCTGTTCTTCATGTCTGTAATTTTGTCATTTTGAGAATGCTGTATAAGTAGAATACAGTATGAGGATTGGCTTTTGCTGTTATAAAATTTTTTGCTCAGAATAATTTCTTTGAGATCCATTCAAGTTGTAGCATGTATCAATAATCCATTCCATTTTATTGCTGCGTAGTTTCCCATGGTACAGAAGAGGTAGCACAGTTTATTTTACCCATTGGAGGATATGAAGGATATTTGTGTTGTTTCTAGTTTTTGGCTATTAGGAATAAATCTGCTATAAACGTGTGCATAGGTTTGTGTGTGAATGTTAAGTTTTCATTTTCTGGGATAAATGTCCAGGAGTGCAGTTTCTGGGTTGCATGTGGTAAGTACATGTTTAGTTTTGAAATAAAATGACATACTCTTTTCTCGGGTGGCCATATAATTTTACATTTCTTTCAGCCATCTGAGTGACCCTGTTTCCCTGAATCCTTGACAGTGTTTGATATTATCAAAATTTTACATGTAGCCACCATTTTGATAGGTATGTAGTGATATCATATCTTATGGTGGTTTTAAAAAATTTTGTTAAATTATTATTGGTACATAATAGTTATATATGTTTATGGGGTACATGTGATATTTTGATACAGGCACACAATGTGTGATAATCAAGTCAGGGTAATTAGAGTATCTCCATCACCTCAAGCATTTATTATTTCTTTGTGTTAAGAACATTCCAGTTCTACTCTTTTAGTTATTTAAAAAGATAACAGTAAGTTATTGTTGACTACAGACAACCTGTTATGTTATCAAATACTAGATCTTATTCATTCTAACTATATTTTTGCATCTAAACCATTCCTACTTCCCCCCACTACCTGCCATCCTTCCCAGCCTCTGATCATCATCATTCTACTTTCTATCTTTATGAGAATAATTGTTTTAATTTTTCACTCATTTTGACTCCTATGAGTGAGAACATGTGAAATTTGTGATAATGGTTTAAATTCACACTTTCTTGATGGCTAAGCACATCTTTTCATGTGCTTGTTTGTCATCTCTACGTCCTCTTCAACAAATACCTGCTTGTGTCTTTTGCCCATTTTCTAGAATTTTTTTTTTTTTACTGTTGAGTTTTGAGAGGTTTTTACATATTCTAGATACAGGTCCTTTATCGAATATATTGTTTGCAAATGTTTTCTCCCAGTTTGTAGCCTGTCTTTTCATTCTCTTCAGTCTTTCATAAAGCAAAAGTTTTAAATTTTGATGAGGTACAATTTAATTTGTCCTTTTGTGGATTGTACATCTGATGTCAAGTCTAAACTTTTTTCCTAGATCTGCCTGGGTTCTGAAGATTTTCTCCTATTTTTTTTCCATAAAAATTTTAGAGTTTTACATTTAATTCTGTGATTCATTTTTAGTTAATTTCTAAAATAACAAGTTGAGGTTCATATTTTTGTCTATGGATGTCCAGTTGCTCCAGTAATATTTGTTGAAGCCTGTCCTTCCTTCAGTGAATTGCTTTTGCACCTTTGTAAAAAATCACTTAGGCATATTTGTGTGAATCTGTTTCAGACTCCTCTAGCTGTTACATTGATTTCTCTCTCTCTCTCTGTGTGTGTGTGTGTGTGTGTGTGTGTTTGTGTGTGTGTCAGTCCCTCCACCAATACTATGCTGATAACTGTAGCAATTTAGTAAGCCTTAACATCTGGTGGAGCAGTTTCTCCCACTTGGTTCTTTTTTTTTTTCCCCAAGTTACAGGAATTATTCTAGGTCCTGTGCCTTTGTAAATTTTAGAAATAAAGTTGTCTCTGTCTACAAAACACCTTGCCATTTTCATATGAATTACGTTGAAGCCTATAGAATCCATTTTGGGAAGAATTGACATCTTTACTATGTTGAATTTTCTTAGCCATGAACACAATGTCTCTTCATTCATTTAAGTCTTCTTTCATTTTATTTCATTAGCATTTTATAACTTTTACAATACAGATATGATACATGTTTCTTTGGACTTATACTTAAGTATTTAATTTTTTGAAACAATTGTAAATGATTCTGTTTTTTAAATGTTGGTTTTAGTGATTGGATTAAATGATTGGATTCTATGTGGTTGATTTTGTATTTTGCAACCTTGCTTATTTATTTATTCTGAGGGTTTTTTTTTTAAAACTTCTTTACAGATTACTTGGGATTTTCTACATACAATATCATGTCATTTGAAAATAGGTGTAGTTTTATTTCTTCCTCTTCAAACTGTGTGCCTTTTGTTTCATTTTCTTACCATCTTGCAATGACCACAACTTAACAGTACTATGCCAAATAAAAGTGGTGTTCCCTTTTTCCAGTCTCAGGGGGAAAGCGTTCATTCTTTTACCACTAAATATGATGTTAGGTGTAGGTTTTGGTAGATGTTTTTTATCAGTTGAGGAAGTTTCACTCTATTCATTTTCTGAGAGTTTTAGTCATGAATGGGTGTTGAATTCTGTTATATATTTTTTCTGCATTTATTTACATAATTTTTTTTTTTTTCTCTGTTGTGTTGATGTGCTGGGTTACATTGTTTGATGTTTGAATGTTGAAGCAGCCTGGCATACCTGGAATAAATCCCATTTGCTCATGATGTATAATTCTTTTTAAACATTGCTGGACTTGATTTGTTAATATTTTGATGAGAATTTGTGTGTGTGTGTGTGTATGGAATTCTCTAGTGAAATCTGTGCCTGGAGATTTCTATTTCAGGTTTGAAATGACTAATACCATTTATTTAGTGGTTATAGGACTATTAAGATTGACTATTTAATCTAGTTTGTGGTTTGTGATTTTTTTTCTAGGCTGTCAATTTTGTGAGCATAAAATTGTTTGTATTATTTCCTTATTGTCTTTTTAATCAGAGCATGATTTGTTTTTCTCCCTCAGTTTCTCATTATCCATTTTGTTTTTCTTGCCCTCTTGTGGGTTACTTGAATAACTTGTAGGATTTCATCTTTATTTATTTATAGTGTTTTTAGTATATTGCTTTGTGTATATACATATGTAATTTTAGTGTTTGTTCTAGGTATTAAAACATGGACACATAATATATCCCAGTCTATCTGTATCAATGTTTTACCACTTTGACTTGTGGAAACTTAATTCCATTTACATCCCTTTTCTTTCTCTATTTTAAATATCTTTTTCTTTAGTATAAGATGTTGTCTAATTTTTGTTTTAATGATCAGGTATGATTTTTAAAACTGATGAGAAGTCCAGTGTATACATCTATACATCTGGGTTTATTTTGTTCTTCCTTCCTTCCTGATTGTCTGAGATTTCTTTTTCTGTCATTTCCTTTGAAGAAAACCCTTCAGCCAATCTTTAAAAACAGATGTACTGGCAACAAATTCTATTAGTTTTTCTTTGTCTGAGAATGTCTCTGTTTCCCCTTCATCCCTCACTGGATATCGTAATCATGGTTGACAATTCTTTTCTTTCAGCAGTTGAAAAAATTGGGAAGTGTTCAGCCATTATCTTTTAAAATACTCTCTTTCTCATATCTTCCCTCAGACTCCGATGATGGATC